GGAGGCGGAGGCGGAGGCAATGTTTGTGGTAGTTGTGGTCTTTTTGGCTAGCAAAGTGTGTGTGTGCCCACCATTATGGCCATTAGCAAGTTGGGCATTGATGGCGAAGATTAGGGGAACTGAAATTCTGCATATTGTGATCCATTGCATTGGGTCTATCATTGCAAAGCTGCTCTAAATCGAAGAGAAATGCCTCTCGTGTTTGGGTGTTTGGAAACTTTTTGGTGATTCATGGATGATTGTGTTGTTGTGGATGTTTAAGGTTGAGTGTGGTGGTAAAGTAGGTAGTGATTGGAGTTTGTGAAACATGGGGTTGGAATTGGGTTATGTGATGGTGGTGGTGTTGGTGATGAAATAGGGGTTCAATGGTGGTGGTGGTTGATGATGGTGCTAAATCGACAGACTAGTGTTGGTTGTTTGGTGATGGTAATGGTAGAGTTGTTTGGTGACAATGGTAATGGAAGAGTTGTTGTGTCCAATTAATATATATATAGAAAAAGAGAAGTGGTGGTGATAGATGATCTGGCTTAGAGTGACGCATGTCACCACTTGGCTAGTTATATCAAGGGTGAAGTAGGCATTTCAAAATTTTAAAATAAGATATCATATTTCATTTTTCTCACCAATGGTCAGTTAGCAATAGGAGGAAATTTGTTACATGATTTCCCAAATAGAGGAATTATTAATACCATAAGGTAGCAAGTGTATTAAAGCCAAACCCTTGGGGTGGTCAGCATAATTTATCTTTAACCACTGGAGTTTGGCAGTGGTGAGAGCCAGTTTACATCATTAGGGGGTTATGTGTCCAATTCCCCACTTTTCCTCCAATGTTCCAGAAAAAAAGGAGTAATTGATCCTGAAAAATCTAGATTCGTCCTGTGATTTCGTGATTATCGATTTAGGCAACCCAATAAAAAAATATGCAACCATGATCAATATAGAGAAGAGAGAGAGAGAGAGAGAGAGAGAGAGAGAGAAATAAAACAACCACGACACAAAAAAAAAAATTGTGGAAAAATCACAATTGGAATCCACACCAACTTGTGATAAAATATCATGGGCCCCTGTCCAGACGAATAATCCATTATGAAAGAAAAGTAGTGCAAGAGATATCTTACAAAAGGCTAATCCAGGAATACGCGTTTGCTCAATCTACAAGTAGCTCCACTTGCTCCTTCACTGGATATCCACTTCCGCTATTGAATCCATGATAACGGTGTCAAATCCAAGACGCCAATGACTCCGGAATCTACTGAAGCTTACAATCTTGGAATCCACCAAGAAGGTTCACTTTTGAAAGGTGTGAAGAACTTTTACAACTTGATGATTAGCTTTAAAGCACCTATGAGCTAATGAATCATTAAGCAAAATGTGAGAGAGAGTTACAATAAATCCTCACTACAATTTCTCCCTCACGAAAATAATCTCTCTACAAACATAGATCTCTCAAAATAAGTCTCCCTCAATGTTAGACAATATAATGAGCTCCAGAGAGGTTCAGAGGAGATATGGAAGAGATATAAAAATGATTTGGGAAAGATACCCAAATAATTCAGCAAAGGGTCTTTTAAATAGACTTGAGGCCCATCTAACAAAAAAATAAAAAATAAAAAAATAGACTTGAGGCAGAGCACCATAGTGAGCGCGGTCATGGACATCGCAACGCGACTGTGACATGAGCGGGCGTGGAGGGAAAGAATGCGGGTGCTATTGTGTCATGTGCGGGCATGGGCGCGGGTCTTCATCGCGGGTTGCAGACAAAAGTATTAGGAGCTCATTTTGGTCGCATCTTGAACGTAGGCGCCATTCATGTTCATCGCGGGTGCGATGATCTTGTTCGCGGGCGCAGTGGTCATAATGACCAATAACCAGCTGTTGTTGCAGCCTTTTTGCTCTGTTTTTGTCAACTATTTCAGCCCATGCTTTAGCCACCCTATAGCTCTGACAAACAGCCATCTTTTGCCTAAAAAAAGTCTTGTCTTTACAATGTACGATTTTTCAAAAAGATTCAATCAAGATCTTCCATAATCTAACTTAATGAATCAAGGCAAATCATATCCAAATGTTGCCAAACTTTAAGATAGAATTGTAAGATTTCTGAATGATTTTTGTGTATTCAATTGTAAAAGTAATACAAGAATACATCTAATTATATAGTAATCCTAACTCTAAGACTAAAAAGGAAAGAGAATATTTACAATTTCAACATATATACAAAATATATACTACCATATATAGAGATACTCTAATTTTCTCACACCCCACTCAAACTCACAGTGTTTTAGTAGAAAACACTAAGAGTTTGCCAAGAAGAAATTGAAACCGAGCAGTGGTGTGAGTTTTGGTGAAGAAGTTAGCAAGTTGCATAGTCAAAGAGACAAAAGGAAGCGAGATAGAGTCAGACTGCAGATGCCGGCAGACAAAGTGACAATCAATCTCAATGTGTTTCGTCCGCTGATAGAAGATAGTGTTATGGGTAATTTGAATAGAATCTCGGTTGTCACAGTATAGAGGTGTTGGAGAGGAGACGATTGAGGGACACCCAAATCAGACAGGAGACAACGAAGTCAGACAATCTCAGCAGTAGCATGAGCCATAATACGGTACTCAGTTTCGGCAGTAGAGCGAGTAATAATAGTTTGTTTCTTGCTTTTCCAAGAGATCAAGGAATTGTCGAGAAACATATAGAAACCAGAAATAGACTTGCGATCAGTAACATCACCAACCCAATTAGAATCAACATAGGCCACTAAGTCCAAAGAGGAAGTAGAAGACAACAGTAAGCCCTGAAATATAGTACCCCAAAGATAGCAAAGAATCCGAACCGAAGCAGCCCAATGTGTAGAGTGAAGAGCAGAGATGAACTGGCTAACCACATGAACAACATAGGCAAGATCATGACGAATAACCATCGATATAAAGTAGGATCATCCATAGGGACTCCATCAGTAGTGTTAAGTTTCACATTAAGCTCAATTGGGGTATCATAACTCTTAGTGTCAGTAAGGTCGGCACAGTGAATAATCTCATTGGCATATTTGGCTTGAGATAGAAAGTAGCTTTTGGGAGAAGAAGTTACCTCAATACCAATAAAATAGTGTAGCCCAGATCCTTCATTTTGAAGGTGCAGAAAAGATGTTGCTTGACCTCAGAGAAAGCAGAAGAATCAGAGCTAGTGATGATCATATCATCCACATACAGTAACAGGGCAACAAAACTAGTAGAGGTGTGGAGGAGAAACAAAGCAAAATCTTGGTCACAATGATGAAACCCCAACCGAGCAACAACTATCTAAAAACGATCATACCAAACACGAAGAGATTGCTTTAGATCATACAAAGCATGCCAAAGATGACAAACATGTCCAAGGGAATGGGGAAGGCCAGGGGGAGGATGCATGTAAATCTCCTCAGTGAGATGACCATTAAGAAAAACATTCTTAACATCCATCTAATAGAGAGGCCAATGACGAACAACAACGACATATATTAAAGTATGGACAGTAGTCATCTTGGCAATAGGGGCAAAGATCTCCTCATAATCAATACCATACTCCTATAAGAAACCTTTGGCAGCCAGACGAGCTTTGTAGCGCTCCAGAGAACCATCAGAATGAGTCTTTGACTTTATAGACCCATTTGCAAACTGCCAAATTGTTGCCAGCAGGCAAAGGAACCAGCTCCCAAGTAGCAGTCTTCTGCAAAGTAGACAACTCATCCTCCATGGCTTAAACCCAATTAGGATCCTGACATGCCTCTTTGTAAGATTGAGGTTCTGAAAAAGAGTGAATAACAAACAAAAAGGAGCAATATGAAGGGGAAAAGAACATGTTTTAGCAAAACTAAGTTTGATTACCTGTTTATAGATGCGAAGGGGATACTTACGGTTATGAAGATCAGAGTCGTTAGAAGCAAGGGGGTCAATAGCAGAGGCAGAGACAACTGGTGGAGGGAGATCCTTGTGACATGAATTGACAAACAACGGAGGAGGAGAAGAAGCAGGAGAGAGAGGAGAGAGAGAAGAGGGAACAGACTCATGTGGGACTGGGGAGAGGGATTTAGCTGGAAGGGTGGTAGAAGGAGAAGAGGGAACAAGCTCATAGGGAATAGTAGAGATGTACTTATCATGAAGGACCTTAGAAGGAAATGGATCAATGTGAACCAAATCCTCTTTGGAAACCGGAGTAGTGATAGGAGGAAGCTAAAAGTGAGACAGACGTTCGAGAAAGGAAACATGGCAGGATACATAAAGGCGATGGGAAATAGGGTCGTAACAGCGATATCCTTTTTAAATAAGACTATAACCTAAAAAGACACACAGGACAAATCAGACACTAAGTTTGGTCCTATCTTACGGGAAAGAAGAACGAAACAAGCAGACCCAAACACACGAAGGGGAGAGTAATTGGGAAGTCGAGAAAACAGAGCCTCATAAGGAGATCGATCAGAGAGAAGGGGGACTAGGCATATGGTTAAGAAAAAATGCAGCAGTAAGAATTGTCTCATCCCAAAATGGAGTTGGAACAGAGGCAGAAAGAAGAACAGACCTACCTATCTTAAGGAGATGATGGTGTTTACGCTCGGCTCGACCATTTTGAGCAGGTGTATCAGTATAAGAAGTTTGGTGAATGGTACCTAAATTGGCCAAATACTCACAGAACTCAGTTTTAAAATATTCCCCACCCAAGTCAGACCGTAACAATTTAATTGTAGACCCAAACTATGTGATGATCATAGACTTAAAAGTACGGTATATTTGGTAAAAATCGAACTTATGAGTCATAGGATAAACCCAAGTGTAATGGTTGCAATCATCAACAAATGACATATAGTAAGCAGAACCTCCTTTGGTGAGGACAAGAGGACTCTAGACATTAGTATGAACTAAAGAAAACGGTGTATCAAAAATAGAAGTACTTCTACAAAAAGGTTAGACTATCATTTTGGCAAGTTTATAGCCATGACACTCAGTAAGTTGATTTAGAGAAACTTTACCCAATAAACCTGATTGATCTAAAGACTGTAAGTGGTCAGCAGACAAATGTCATAATCTAGAATGCCACAAATAAAAAGGACTCAACAGAGAAGCCAACTGAAAAGAGGAAAAGTAGTCGGAGAAGTAGTCATAAGCAAATGCAAGCTCTCCATCATATAGAGGTCTCCAACTCTACGCCCGGTCCTAATTTGCTGCTTGGACATTTGATCCTGCATAAAACAAAGAGAAGAAGAAAAGAGGACATCAAAACTAGAGGCATCAAGCGGACTGATAAATAATAAACTGACAGATAACTGAGGAATATAAAGGATAGATGGAATACTAACAACAGACATATCAGACAGTAGGATATACTTAACATATAAAACAGATGTTAAAAATTCAAGTATTATTGATTGATGTGTGTTGTTGTTGTGATATTGATATTACAAGGATTCCTATTATATAGAAAAGGATTTGGGTAGTAGGTGAGGAGTAGGTGAGGGTAAATTGGTGGTAGGTGTAGTAGGTGTGGTAGTAGGTGGTGGTAGGTGTAGGTAAATTTTAACAGCCCCCCGCAAACTCAAGGAGGATAGAAACTAACCAACTTGAGTTTGGAGAGAGTAACAAAACAAGAAAATACATAAAAATAAAAGAGGATAGGAGACACTGTATGGTCGTGTCAGACCATTGGTGAAGACACTGGATGGTGGTGTCATAACGTTGTAGAGGACACTGTATGGGGGTGTCATAACGGTGTAGAGGACACTGGATGGCGGTGTCAGACCGATGTAGAAGACAGTTTATGGGGTCATGTCGGACCGTTGACATGACCCCATAAACTGTCCCGACATTGATTCCGGTTAGCTCCTTCATGGGTCCGACAAGACTCTGTAAACTGTCCCGACATAGATTCCAGTTAGCTCCTTCAACGG